ATTAAGAAACTGGGTTGGGGGAATTTAGCGTAGCAATGGAAAACTGGTAGGGTGAGCAGGGGAAGGTATGACTTTTGAAATCAGGAGTGAAGAGAAGTTGGGTATTTCTTGCAGAGAAAAAGGCCTAAGCAAAGATCATGAGTGGACAAAAAGGTGAAAAGGTGATTATGGAAGCTAGGAATGGATATGGGGGTTGGGTAAATAATTGTTGTAAACTCCGTTATGAATTGATGTATTTCAATTAACCAGTTACCAAATTTAAAATAATTAGCAGTCACTGTTTTCATAATTTTTTCTCCATATAACTGCTGTTTTTTCAAAGGCTAATTCATGTAATTGTTAATAGCATTCTGTTAATATTTAGATTTTGGATATAGGTAACTGAAAATTCTTTATAGATTTTTAAATATTTTTTCAATTAGCATATTTTGTAGGTAATATATTGATTGTTGGTTAAAATACACCCTTCAGTCTTCAGTATTGAGTCAAGAGTTGTCAATCTGGTATCTTTTAAAGTTTGCATTTATTAGAAGACTGGAAAGGTTGGCTGTATCTTCATATGCTCATTGTCCTTTTGATTTTTTGTGAATTGCCTTTTGGCAGTCTTTTTTTTAATTTTTATTTAGTTACTTTTCAAGTACAGATTTTTGTTTATTTCTCCCATCCCAGCCCACCCCGTCCCATGCACCCCACCTCCCTCCCATTTCCACCCCCCTTAGTTTTTGTCCGTGTGTCCTTTATACTTGTTTCTCTAAATCCCTCCCATTTTTTCCCCTTAAATTCCCTCCCCTCTCCCCTCTGGTCACTCTCCCCTTGTTCTCTATTTCAGTGTCTTTGTTTTTATTTTGCTTGCTTGTCTGTTTTGTTGTTTAGCTTCCTGTTAAAGGTGAGATCATATGGTATTTGTCTTTCACCGCCTGGCTTATTTCACTCAACATAATGCTTTCCAGTTCCATCCATGTTGTTGCAAAGGGTAGTAGTTCCTTCTTTCTCTCTGCAGCATAGAATTCCATTGTGTATATGTACCACAATTTTTTGATCCATTCATTTACTGACGGGCACCTAGGTTGCTTCCAGCTCTTGGCTATTGTGAATTGTGCTCCTATGAACATTGTGGTGCATAGGTTCTTTGAAATTGATGTTTTGGGGCTCTTAGGATATAATCCTAGCAGTGGAATTGCTGGATCAAAAGGCAGGTTGATTTTTATTTTTCTGAGAAAATTCCATACTGTTTTGCATAATGGTTGTACCAGTCTGCAATCCCACCAACAGTGAACTAAGGTCCCCTTTTCCCCACAACCTCTCCAACATTTGTTGTTGGTTGCTTTGTTTATGATAGCCATTCTGACTGGTGTAAAGTGGTATCTCATTATGGTTTTGATTTGCATCTCTCTGATAGCTAGCGATATTGAGCATCTCTTCATGTGTCTCTGGATATTCTGTATGTCCTCCTTGGAGAAGTGTCTGTTCAAGTTTTTTTCCCATTTTTTAGTTGGGTTGGTTGTCTTCTTAGAGTGGAGTGGTGTAAGTTCTTTGTATATTTTGGAGATTAAACCTTTGTCTGAGGTATCATTGGCAAATATGTTTTCCCATACAGTTGGTTGTCTTTTTAATTTAATACTGTTTTCTTTAGCCATGCAGAAGCTTTTTATTTTGATGAGATCCCATTTGTTTATTCTTTCCTTTATATTCCTTGCGCTAGGGGACATATCAATAAAAATGTTGCTGCGTGAAATATCTGAGATTTTCCTGCCATTGTTCTCCTCTAGGACGTTAATGGTTTCAAGGCTTATATTTAAGTCTTTTATCCACCTTGAATTTATTTTGGTGTATGGTGTAAGTTGGTGCTCAAGTTTCATTTTTTTGCAGGTAGCTGTCCAGTTCTCCCAACACCATTTGTTAAAGAGGCTATCTTTACTCCATTTTATGTTACTGCCCCCTTTGTCGAATATTAATTGACTGTAGAGAGTTGGGTTTATTTCTCGGCTCTCCGTTCTGTTCCATTGGTCTATGTGCCTGTTTTTATGCCAGTACCAGGCTGTTTTGATTACAGTGGCCTTGTAATACAGTTTAATATCAGGTATTGTGATCCCTCCTAGTTTGTTCTTCTTTCTCAAAATAGCAGCTGCTATTCGGGGTTGTTTATGGTTCCATATAAATTTTTGAAGTGTTTGTTCTATGTCTGTGAAATATGCCATTGGTACTTTAATAGGTATTGCATTGAATCTGTAAATTGCTTTGGGTAGTATGGACATTTTGATGATGTTAATTCTTCCAATCCATGAACAAGGTATATGTTTTCATTTGTTTGTGTCTTCCCTGATTTCTTTCTTCAGGGTAGTTTTCTGCATACAGGTCTTTTACCTCTTTAGTTAGGTTTATTCCCAGATATTATATTTTTGTTTTTGCTAATATCACATGGGACTTTTTCCTTGATTTCTGCTTCTGCTGATTCATTGTTAGTATACAAAAATGCCTTTGATTTCCAGATATTGACTTTGTAACCTGCTGTTTTGCCAAATTCATTAATTAGTTTGAGCCGTTTTGGGGTAGAGTTTATAGGATTTTCCATGTACACTATCATGTCATTGGCAAACAGTGACAGTTTTGTTTCGCCTATTGATAGCCTTTACTATTTTTCTGAGAGATTATCTTTTTTTCCCATGCTTAAGAAGAGTTGCCTATGTTAAGGCAACTGTCAATTTGCCTGTGTCAATCAATTAGTTTCCTTATATGTACATTTGTGTGTGTGTTCAGAGAGCAAGTAAAAGTATGAGCAAGTTCAAAGATACTTTTCCTATTTCTCATATCTTTAGCTTCACTTAAGGGTGTTTGTCCCTCATGGACAACAGTGTGATGCTTGCTGGGGGGGAGGGGGTATAAAGGGACTAAATGGTAATGGGAAAAAATACAATAAAGAGTAAATTTTTTATAAAAACTGTCCCTACCCCTGCTTCCCACATGGAAGTTCAATAATCATATGTCTATTAGCGTTTTCTTTTCACGTTTCTACTTTTACATTATTCTTTAATAGAATTTTCCAACACTAAGTTACTAAACAACTTAGCTTTCTTCTAAAACTTTTAGAAGTGCAGTTGCCTATTATGTGTTTAGCTTATAATTCTCTCATAGTGTTCTCAGTAGATATTTAGATTTCCAGTCCAAGTCATGTTTCAGTGTTGTGCTTAACTGTCATATCTTCAGATTATACCCATTTAAGATGGTGAGCTGAAAACCTTCCAGCTCCGAGATTCTGAAGCTGTCTCTATTTTAATGTTTATAGCTACATTTTAAATTAATGTTATATAGCTAAGGTTTTCAGAATTTAGGAGGCAGACATCTTATGACTTACCTGTTTTCTTTTGAATGCCATATAAGAATGGAAAAATTGTAAAATAAGAATGACTTTTAAAAGTAAGTGAATTAATGAAATCTCCATTAGTGGCTCTTCAGGAAGTGAAAAAATCCAGATTTTTGTAGTATTAGTAAACCTACTATATGCATGTCATATTGGTTGGCCTTATAGTGTGTAAGGGATGAGTAACTTTTAAAATATGTACTGTCAGTAATTTGGGGGTAGGGTGAGAATTAGGCCAGTAAGCACACACAAAAAAGGATTAATGTGAGAATTCAGAGTTCATACAAAAATTTTATCAATTATGGGGAGAGCCTAAATGGAAAAGTAACATTTGTGATACTTAACAGAGAATTGATAAATTTTGGCAGGTAAGATGTAAGGAGAGTATTATGAACAGAGGCATTTTTAGGAGGAAACACCCCACAAAACTGGGAAGACACCGGGTGTGGGTCTTGGGGAAATAGGATTTTGTTGTTGTTGTTGTCCTCAGGCATGATGAGATAAGTATGGGAAAAAATAGAAGATGAAGTTGGAAGGCCAGATTGGGGTCAAATTTGGTAAACATTGGGCGAGTGTCTGTTGATACAGAAGGGGAAAGATGTGGAGCTACATACATTGTCCTCTGTGGTAGCTACTAGCTACATACAGCTGTTGAGCACTTGAAATGTGCTTGGTACAAATTGAGATATTCTCTAAGTTTAAAATACTTGCCAGATCTCTAAGATTTAGTACAAAAAAAGAACATAAAACATCTCATTGAAAACTGTATATTGAGCCCTGGCTGGTGTGGGTCAGTGGGTTGAGTGCCAGCCTATGAACCAAAGGGTCACTGGTTTGATTCCCAGTCAGGGCACATGATTGGGTTGTGGGCCAGGTCCTCAGTAGGGGACACATGAGAGGCAACCACACATTGATATTTTTGTCCTTTCTCCTTCCCTTCCCCTCTCTCTAAAAATAAATAAGATCTTTTTTTAAAAAAAAAACTGTATATTGATATGTTGAAGTAATTATATTTTAGATGTATTGAGTTAAGTAAAGTATATTATTGGAATTATTTTTACCTGTTTATTTTTTTATATGACTCCTAGAAAATTTAAAATTATATTGTGGCTCAGGTTATATTTCTGTTACACAATGCTGATACAGTTAGGAGTATAACCAGTATTTGCTAATACCTACTATGTGCCAGATATTATCTAGAACTTGTAATAAATTTTAGTCCTCATAGAAAACCTTATGAAGTAGGTGATATTATTATCCTTCCTTTTCAAGTAACTGAGGTTCAGAGAGGTTACACAATATACCTAAATCACTCTGGTAATAAGTAGGAAGCCAGGATTCAAACCTAGTTCTCTCTGGCTTCAGAGCCCATGATTTTCCCTATACACTCTGGCATGTTGTCATTGGACCATTAACAGTAGTTAAGTTGGCAAAGACATCATTGGAATGAAACTATAGCACATAATAAGGGAAGAAACTTCACTTTCAGCTATCTGGTTTTTATTTTTGTTTGTTTTGTTAATGTTACTTTTTGCGGGACAAAAATGCCTTGTTTAAATTTAACTTTTGAATTGCATCTTTTTGAAGTATCTTTTATGATAACTGCTTCTCAAAGTATTTATTTACCTTACTACTTTTGTAGATTTGATAATGGGCTGCATTAAAAGTAAAGAGAACAAAAGTCCAGCAATTAAATATAGAACAGAAAACTCTCCAGAACCTGTCAGTACAAGTGTCGGTCATTATGGAGCAGAACACACTGCAGCGACATCATCCTCTTCAGCAAAGGGAACATCTGTTAATTTTAGCAGTCTTTCCATAACACCATTTGGAGGATCCTCAGGGGTGACACCTTTTGGAGGAGCATCTTCCTCATTCTCGGTGGTGCCAAGTTCATATCCTGCTGGTTTAACAGGTGAGATTTAAATGGACAATTCTGTTGTAAGTTTGAGAACGTGACCTTGGGCAATATATACATAAGGTTTGCCTGCTGTAAGAAAAATAACTTACTGGGGGCCTTTTAAAATAAGTTAATGTGAAAATTAAAGTCTCTAACATAAAAATCAAAGTCTCATTGTATACATGGATATTTTCTGGGAAATCTGGTGATAATTTGATGGTGATTAAATACTGGGTTAGAATTTCATTGATTTATTTTTCAAATAATTATTGAGTGCCTACTGTGTGGCTGGCCCTGGGGAATATGAAGATTTGAAACAATGTAAGGTACAGCATAGGGAATATCATCTTAATAATGTATGATGTCAGATGGACACTAGACTTATTGAGGTGATCACTTTGTGAGGTATATAAATGTCTAATCACTATGTTGTATGCCTAAAACTAGTGTAATATTGTATGTTACCTATTATTTAAAAATAAATTTTAAAAACATACTTCTCTCTCAAGGATGTTACAAGTTTTCAGGATTGTAAAATGCTATCCACTATTAAAGTATTACAGTAATTAATAAATGTTAATTACACGCAAAGTAGTGATGATAATAAAATTTTTCTATAGGTAGGTACTAATGATTTAAGAATAGTTTTGAGGCTCAGAGTTTAAAATATTTTTATCAGAGTCACAGATAATAAGCAGGGGAGCCCAGATTTAATACCCTGTTCCAGAGCTGCATTTATTATTTATAGCATCATATCCATTCAGAGAATAGCAAGAAGTGAAAGCTGATAACCTTTAATAGAACCAAAAATGCTCTAAAAAAAGTAGTCAAACTTTTAAAAGAGAGGGAGTTCTGTTATGAAGGGTCCCACAGCAGGATGCTTTTCCCTTGAGCAACAAAACACAGCTGGCTTAAAAGGTAGGGTGAGCCCCAGGATTCTTTCATTTAGCAGTTCCTTAATACCATCAACAACTCAAGTTTCTCTTATCTCTCTCCTGCAGCCCTTGGAGTATCCACTTTATCTTTAGACATGACAAAACAGTTGCCAGCATCAAACTGAGCAACGTGAATCCTTATTCTCAGCCAATGGGGAAAAAAGAGGAGTCTCTTCTATAAGCATGGGCTGTAAATTTGTCTCTTCAAGTCTGCTTGCTTCTGTAATAATAATAGAGGCCAGAGGAATGCCATACACTAATTCTAATACACTGTTCATGTGGGGAGTTATGGACCTCAAGAGTCAATTACAATCTAATTCCAACCCCTTAACTAATTCTTCAGTAATAGATGGTTGTGATGGTGGTTCTCAGCCATCAGCAAAAGTTTAAATTATTTTCAGGATTTTATGTTTGGGAAAGAAAGTAATCCCAAATGATTTAATATTGATATGTAAAAACATACTTTAGTTACATAGTTTAGTTATTTATGTGAAATAGTCTGTTCATGGATATTGATTTATTAATAACTATGGGGTGTCTATGTGCCAGGCATAGAGAGTTGTAAGCAAGAGAAAAAGGGTTTCTGTTCTAATGGAGTTGACATTATAGTGAAGGTTGGACAATAATTATAAACAACTGAACAGTATGATTAATAGTTCTTAAATGCTAAGAAAGAACTAACCAGAATATTGGTGAAGGCCCTTCAGGTGATCACTAAAGATCAAAGAAAGGCATCTTGAGAAGAATCATCTGAGGTGAGATTTGATTAATGAGAATAACCTAAACATATGCAAAACTGGGAAAAGAGCCTTCTGGGGAGAAAGAATAACAGATGCAAAGTTTAAAGTGTACCCATGAACCTAGCAGTTTTTGAGGACTAGTGAGGAAGCCCATATGGGCAGAGGGTAGAATTATATGATTTGGGATTAAAGAGTCAGGATTACTCAGGACCTCATAGACTCTAGTAAGAAGTTTGGGTTTTATTTCAAACCAGAAACAAGCTATTGAAGACATTTAAGAATTTTCATGATTGAATTACTCTTTTAAAGGAACTCATTCTGCCAACTGTGTGGAGAATGGATGTGGGGAAGCAGATACAGAAGTGGGTTACGAGGCTACTACTCTCAGTAGTAGCCTTGGACTTGTATTAGGGTGGTAGCAGTAGAAATGGAAAAGAAAGTAGATGTTTTAGAGTTAGAACTGACAGGCTGGTGATAGGCTTGGCCTGGAGTACCTGATTGCTTAGTAATGCCATTTACTTAGGTAGGGAAGACTTGGGTAACAGGTTAGAGGAGAAAAGTCAGCACCTTTGTTTTATACGTAATAAGTTTTGAGTGCTTGTTAGACATTCAAGTCAAGATGTCAGATAGATAGTAATATATGACTGGCAGCCAGATAAATGAGATAATCTATTTTATTCTTTCTTTTATTTGTAGATAATAGTTTGGCTCTTTAAGTGTGCTAAACTCTTCAGTATCTGTACACAATGCTATATATGATACAGTTGCTTTTGTTTGTTTGTTTGTTTGTTTTTAGGGAGAAAAAGAGGGAGTAAAATATCAATGTGCAAGAGAAACATCAATGAGTTGCCTCTTGTCACATCCCCAAGTGGGGACCTGGCCCACAACCCAGGCATGTGCCCTGACTGGGAATCAAAGTAGCAACCTTTTTGTTTGTAGGAGGATGCCCAACCGGCTTAACCACACCAGTCAGGCCTATTTATGGAATTTATAATTTATATTAGCCATACCATTTAATTGCTAAGAAAATATACCATTTTTATATTTGAATGTAAATATAATAAATTATCTTTCTACAATTCTAGTTATTGCCATTAATGATTAGTCTTCAGGCTCAAAATGTTCACTCACTGTTTATAAGAAATTTAGACAATGCCAGTAGTTTATACTACTCATTAATGCTTTTTTGCTAAAGAAGTGTTTGAAATTTGACTCCATGTCAAGCCAGAGATGTTACTACTAGGAATCAAAATTAAATTTGTTTTTCTGTGTCTGTAGAATTTTAGAATTTATAGACTGTATTAGTTTCATGGAAGGTCTTAGGAGAGTATCTTACTAACTTGAAAATGCCAACTGCCCAAATCCCAAACTTTTAAAGTAGATTCTGGAGACTGGAGAAAAAGCTGCCTAAGCTTTTTTGCTGGTGGTATATATTTTTTTATTTCTCTTTTGTTAACGTATCTGTGTAATTTATCTCAACCTTTTATTTTCTCTAATAGGTGGTGTTACTATATTTGTGGCCTTATATGATTATGAAGCTAGAACTACAGAAGACCTTTCATTTAAGAAAGGCGAAAGATTTCAAATAATTAACAATACGTAAGTGTTACAAATGAGAAATACTGTGTGGGTCGCTGCCCATAGGGTTGGACAGTGCATTTGTTTTCTTTAGACATGTGACAGAATACTACTGATGTAGCCAGAAGTTACTTTTACAGATTGTCTGCTGTGGTTCTGCCATAAACAATAGAGATTTAAGAATGAAGAGTGAGGGAGTATATGTAAGTACATTACTTTAAAAAACTCTCTAAAGAGAATTCTGTATCCCTCTTTATCTAAGTATTAGATGATTTAAAGATCTTGTCTGTTTCTTAGACTTCCAGCCAAGGTGGAAGCACAGGTAGATATACTTCCGCCTCCTTGCACAACCAATCTAAAAACAAAAAACAACCAGAACTGCCAGAAATTGACTTGTAAGGAAGTCTGACAACCAAGGAGTTAAAGAAGAAACATCTACAGTAGTAGGAGGGGCAGAGAGGACGCATGGCTGGCAGACTGGGTGGTCTCACATTCGTGTGCAGATAAAAACCAGGAGGGACAACTGGGGAGCAAGCCATCACAGCCCAGGACAGATCACACAACTCATGGCTCTGGTGCTGGAAAAATAAAGCCTCTTGTAATCTCTGGCTGTAAAAACCTGCGGGAGTTGTAGCAGTGGAAGAAATTACCAGTCTTTGATGAGAGTCAATTTGAGGGGTCCATGGGGTGCTAGAACGTGAGATAAGCCCACCCATTTGGGAATCAGCACCAGGGCAGCACACAGAATGTCAACATTTGCTTTCAGGAGGAAGGGGAAGTGATTGAAAATGGGTCAAGAGCCAAGCAAGCAGCATTGTTTCTTCCCTGAGCCTCCACATAATTTCTGTCTGTAAAAACCTCTGGTGGTTGCAGCAACAGAAGAAACTGCTGGTCTCTCAGGAGAGATCTACCCACATGGAATCAGCACCAGGGAAGCAACTGTGGAAGGGTGCCAATAGCTTGGGGGAAGCAGGAAAAGTTAGTGAAAGATGAGTGAGAGCCGAGCAAGCAGTATTGTTTCCTCCCTGACCCCTCCCCCACATATGGTGCCACAGTACAGTGATATGGGTCCCTACCCTGGCAAATACCTAGAGCTCCACCCCCTTACAATGTAACAGACACACTGATAAAATGAGGAGACAAAGACATATGGCCCAAATGAAAGAACAGATCAAAACTCCAGAAAAAGAACTAAGTGATAAGAGGATAACCAAGCTATTAGATGCAGAGTTCAAAACACTGGTAATCAGGATGCTCACAGAAATGCTGGACTATGGCTGCAAAATAAAGGAAGATGTGAAGGCTATCTAAAATGAAATGAAAAATCTACAGGTAACCAACACTGAAGGGAAGGAAGCCAGTACTCAACAATTTGGAATAAAAGGAAGAAATAAGCAGTAAACTGGAATAGAAAGAAGAAATAAGAATTCAAAAAAAATGAGGAGAGTGAGATTTCCACCAACATAGAGGTGTAGGTGGAAGCACTGTGCCTTCTCACTCAACCAAGTTTAAAAACAACAAAGTTTTAGCAACAAAAACGCAGCCAAACCACAGAAAATTGAACTGTACGGAAGTCTGATGACAACAAACACTTCAGCCAAACCAGTAAGAGGGGCAGAGCCAGCAGCAGAGCGGGGTCGGGCAGGAAAGATCCACTGGATCAACCCAGGCGCACAACCCAGGCCCGAGACGCAGAGGCACAGGCAGCCGTGGGCGGATCTCAGGTGTGGAGCAGTGGGCCTCTCCCTGACCCGCCCCCACATACAGCATCACAAACCAGTGACCTGGGTGGCCCCACCCTGGTGAACATCTAAGGCACCTCTCCTCATACATAACAGGAACAAACAGATCAAAACATGGCTCAAGAACAACTCAGAGCCCCAGAGCCAATAAATCTAAGCAACAAAGAAATAGCCAAACTTTCAGATGCACAGTTCAAAACACTGGTGATCAGGATGTTTACAGAACTAGTTGATTTTAGTCACAAATTAGAGGAACATATGAAGGCTAAACTAATTGAAATGAATGGAAATGCACAGGAAACCAATAGTAATGGAAAGGAAACTGGGACTCAAATCAAAGGACTGGACCAGAAGGAGGAAAAAAAATGGCCAAACAGAAAAGGATGAAGAAACAAGAATTCAAAAAAAGGAGGAGAGGCTTAGGAACCTCCAGGACATCTTTAAACGTTCCAACATCCGAATTATCGGGTACCAGAAGGGGAAGAGGAACAGCCATGAGTGAAAAACTTATTTGAACAAATAATAAAGGAGAATTTCCCCATTCTGGCAAAGGAAATAGACTTCCAGGAAATCCAGGAAGCTCAGAGAGTCCCAAGGAAGTTGGATCCTAGAGGGAACATACCAAGACACATCATAATTACATTAGCCAAGATTAAAATGAAGGAGACAATCCTAGAAGCAGCAGGAGATAAGGGGACAGTCACTTACAAAGGAGTTCCCATCAGACTGTCAGCGCATTTCTCAAAAGAGTCCTTACAGGCAAGAAGGGGCTGAAAAGAAGTATTCCAAGTCATGAAATCCAAAGACCTACAACCAAGAGTGCTCTATCCAGCAAAGCTTTCATTTAGAATTGAAGGACAGATAAAGTGCTTCTCAGATAAGATCAAATTCAAGGAGTTCATCATCACCAAGCCCTTATTATATGAAATATTAAAGAGGCTTACCTAAGAAAAAGAAGATAAAAAAGATGAACAGTGAAAGGAAAGCAAACTCAGTTATTAATAACCACACCTAAAACAAAAGCAAATTAAGAGGACAGCTAGATCAGGAGTGAACCATAGAAATGAAGATCACATTTAGGGTTAGCAACAGGGGAGTGGGAGAAGGAGAAGGGGGGAGAAGGTACAGAAAATAAGTAGCATAGACGGCAGGTAGAAAACAGGGGGGAGGGTAAGAATAGTAGGGGAAATACAGAATCTAAAGAACTTGAGACACATGTTCATGAACTAAAGGGGGCGAATGGTGGGGGAGGGGTATGCAGGGTGGAGGGGAATGAAGGGGGGAAATAGAACAAATGTAATGGCATAATCAATCAAGTAAAAAATATATTTTAAAAGAAGGAAAAGAAACATAGGCTTGGTAAGAAGCCCTTACAAACTGACCAACTTGAGTTATTTTTACCTTATGTGCCTCTTAGACTTTTTGTTATTTATTGGCCCACCATAGAAAATCCAATGATAATTATGGAAAAGAGATTACATAATTGTTCATTTATGGTCTTCCAGTCATGTTTCCTGCCATTCTTACTCCCATTTGCAACCAGTTTCTGTTCCAGAACGTGAATTATTTTTATGTCTCTCTGCTTTAAAATCTTTCAGTAGTTCCAGTTTTCATCAATATAAAAGACAAATAACAATAATAGTAGCTGTTATTCATTGAGCTTCTTCCCCCTTTCACTGTACTGCCTACCCATGTTTAATTACTTATAATTTTCTGAATGTACTGTGGTTTCTCACCTACTCCATGCCTTTGCATATATGATTTTTTTTTTCTGGAATGTAACTTCTTACCTCTCTATTTTTTCTCTTTATCTGACCAACCCAACTCATCCTTCAAAATGTGTCTTCCTGTGTCCTTTCTCAAGAAAGCCTTTTTGACATTCTTTCTCTCCTGCCTGGCCAGGTTCCTGTCTTTTGCTGCATTAAGCGTCCTTCTTACATGTTCGCATAACATCATATGCAAACCTCAATCATAGCTTCCATCACAATTTTGAACTTAATTTGTCACATGCTTATCATTCTTTCAAATCAGTGGTTTTCATCCTGGGTCAGAATCATCCAGGGGACATTTGACAATGTCTGGAGATATTTTTGCTTGATAGTCAGGTCACTGCTACTGTCATCTAGTGAGTAGAGGGCAGGGATATTGCTCAGCATCCTGCAATGCACAACACATGCCCCCATAACAAAGCTATCTAGCCCAAAGTGTTAATGCTGAGGTTGAGAAATTTTACTCTGGATTGTGAGTTTCTTGAGGGTAAGAAGCTATCTTTTTAAAAACTTTATTACTCAGTTTATTAGGGTGACACTTGTTAATAAAATTAGTCAATACAATTCTATAGTACATCATCTGTGTATTGTACTTTGTTTACCACCCCAAGTCAGGTTTCTTCTTCCATCACCATTTATCCCCTTTACCCTCTTCTACTTGTATACCCCCCCTCAGGACTGTCTTTTACTCATTTTTAGCATACCTTATCATAAAGTCTGTCACTTAAAATGTATTCAGTAAATGCTTGAATGAATCAATGAATGGTTCACAGAATCAGATGCAGACTTTTCGATTTGTATATCTGAAAGTACAAGATTTAATATTACTAGGAGACTACAAACCAAGCATATGAACTTGTAAATATTCAAATTACCAAAGGATTTTCCATTTCATTTTCTAGAAAGCAAATGCACCTCAAGCATTTATAATATTCTAATTTAGATTAAATATTTTCAGTACTTTATGGTAAAGCAAAGCATGCATTTAATCTTTAGTAGTGGAATCCATATATGGGATCTGTCTGAAGAATCCAGCCATTGTTAATATAATGAGAATGGTTTGCATGACATCGATGTAACTTGGCAGCTAAGGAGAGTGGACTAGAATGTACATGCATAAACAATGATGACTTTACTGTGCTAGTCATTGAGGGGAGTTGATGCCACTGAGTGGGTGTATGTACTGTGTGGTTGTTACATTAAAAATAACTGACCAAGTAGAGCAATGAATCTGCATCAAATTTTGCGTTAAGCTTGAAGAGTCCTCCACAGAAACTATTCAGATGACTCAGGAAGCTTTCAGGGGTGATGGAATGAGTGCAGTGGAAATAAAAGTGTGGCACAAACATTTCCAAGATGGTTGAGAATCTGTTGAAAGTGATCCATGTTCTGGAAGGCCTGCAACAAGCAGAACACCTGAGAAAGTTGAACATGTACGGGCTGCAGTTAACAAAGATTGGTGACTGACAATGCAAGAACTGGAAACTGATCTCTGGATTTGCAAAACTAGTCCTAGATTTTTGATGCAGGATCTTGAAGTAAAATGTGTCATGGCAAAATTCATTCACTGGCTTCTGCTACCAGAGCAGAAGGAATACCTGCTGCAATTGCTAATGACTTAATTCAAACCGCTACCAGTGAACCAGATTTCCTTGAGTAGGTCATCACCGGAGATGAATCATGGGTCTGTGGCTATGAGTATGATCTGGAAATGAAGTCCCAGTTGTCCCAATGAAAATTGCCATTCTCCATGCCCCAAGAGGATGCAGCAAAGTCGTAGAAAGATCAAGACCATGTTAACTGTGTGTTTGATTGAGGAGGTGTTGTCCCCTCATGAGAACACTCCTCCAGGCCAAACAATTAGTAGGAAATACTACGTAAATGTTCTCCTTGGTTGAGAGCTGCAATATAATGAAAACAGCCACAGCTATGGGCACCTGGTGATTGGCAGCTTTATCACAACAGTGTGCCTGCTCATGCATGACATCTCATGCAGAGTTTTTTGGGAAAACATCAAATCACTCAGTTGACTCAGCCCCTCTACAGCCCAGATTTGGTGCCCTGTGACTTCTGGCTTTTTCCAAAACTAAAATCACCTTTGAAAGGGAAGAGATTTCAAACTGTCAGTGAGATTCAGGAAAATACAACTGGGCAACTAATGGAGATGCCAACAAAGGATTTCGAAGTGCTTTGAACAGTGGAAGATAAACCGGGAGAACTGTGTGAGGTCCCAAGGTGCCTACTTTGAAGGGGACTGGGGCATTATTGTGCTATATGCAATGTTGCTTGTATCTTCTTCAAAATGTCTTTTTCATATCACATGGGTGGATACTTTTTGGACAGACCTCATATGTATGTTTCTTACTACAGACTGATAATATTTACTCCTTTCTCATTAATATTGGAAGAGTCAAGGCTTATGCATTAGAAATTACATACAGTTCTTGTGTTCTCAATTGCTTTTAGTCTTATCTGGATATTTGTGGATAACATTTTTGTATATATTTTATTCTAAGAATTAAAATTTTTATTATCGCTTGTTGATAATATTTTGGCTATAGGAGTTCTAAAGCATGTTGATTTTCTTCCTAAAGTGACTAAAAAGAAAGTATAATTTTATTCACTGTTAAAAAGAAATAAAAAAGAATGATACATGCTACAACATATATGAACTTTGGAAAAAGTATGCTACGTGAAAGAAGCCAATCTAAGAGACCCACATATTGAATTACTACATTTATATGATATGCCCACAATAATGTATCCATAGAAACAAAGCAGATTATTAGTTAGGAATGGGAGAGAAGGGTGTTAGGGGCGGATTCTTAATGTGTGTAGGGTTTCTTTTGGAGGTAATGAAAACGTTCTCAAATTCATTGTGATATAGTTGCACAACTCTGAACAAATTAAAATCCATTAAATTGTACATCTTAAATGGGGGGATTTTATGGTATGTGAATTATATCTCAGTAAAGCTTTTAAAACCAAGTAATATGAAAGATTTACCTTCCAAATACTTTTATTTAGTGTAATTTATTGTCTTAGGTTAAAAGAGTCATGTAAAAAGGTGATCTTTTAACTAAAATTGTATTTGTTGAGGCAGGGTTTGGTTTGGAGCATAAATGCAGTTGTCCTTTCACTTAGCTTTATTCCCTTAATTCATGTAACCTGATTTTTAGTATTCTTTGAGTTGATTCTAAGTCAAACTAATGCATAATTCAAAAATAAAAGTAATATCTCTTGTCTACTTCAGATACAAGACAACACTGCAGTGGATCCTGTTTTGATCAGAAGTCTACTTTGTGGTAACTGTTGTTTTATGTGTTGCAGGGAAGGAGACTGGTGGGAAGCGAGATCAATTGCTACAGGAAAGAATGGCTATATCCCTAGCAATTATGTAGCCCCTGCAGATTCCATTCAGGCAGAAGAGTATGGTGTTACTTCATATTTTATTAATTGTTTTGATTTCAAAATGTTTTAATGCACATTCTACTTAGCCACAGCTTTACACACACAGTTACACATCAGTCTTAATACAGCTAATGTATCATATTAATAGGGGATATTACTTGAAAATTAATAATTAATGCCACTATACTTGCTTACAGCAGGATCATAAATGAATCTGCATTAATAACTGTTGTTATGCCTTTATTTTTTCACTTAAAAAATTACATTAACCCTTTTTTTTTTTTAAACAGTATTTTTTTTTTAATTTATTTATCTTTAGAGGGGAAGGGAAAGAGATAGGGAAATATCAATGTATGGTTGCCTCTCGTGTGTCCCCTGCTGGGAACTGGCCTGCAACCTAGGCATGTGCCCTGACTGGGAATTGAACCGTGATACTCTGGTTCACAGGCTCGCACTCAATCCACTGAGCTACACCAGCCAGGTTAACCCTTTTTTTTATTGAGCACTCCAAAAATTTACCCTCAGTGGGTTTATTTTATCAATGTTAATTTGTTGACTTAAGTACTTGCTCCTATGTAGGAGAGTATCCTTGTCTTCTAGGAAGTACACACTGAGAGATTTAGGGATAATGATTCAGCATGCTTGCAACTTGCTTTTACTCAGTTCAGAAAAACACATGCACACATGGAAAGAGAATATAATAAAACAAAATGTTGAGTTGGGAAACCTAGTGGAGGGTATATGGGAGTACTTACTATTCTTGTTAACTTTTAAAAAGTTCACCTTCACTGACATTACTTTTAGGTCTAACCAAGTTTACCTGGGATCCATAAACACTACTCATTTTTATATCACAACACTTAACACAGTGCCTTGTACATAGTAGGTATTTTATTGGTGTTTGATTTTATTAACAATATGTCATTTGTCTCCATAACTCTCTGGTCTGCTTTGATGTTTGTTACTTTCTTTTGTTCTTTTGTCTTTTTTTCCACTATCCTGAGATCCTCCATGGCAGAGACTATCATTTTTTACTCACAAAACTGCATTAAGTCAAGTCTACATGAAGTTTGTGATTTGGATATGGTTTACTTGCATCTTACTGAATATAGATAGATGATCATCACACTGTTGCCAGAAACCACTTTTATTCTTCTTACTGTAATCAAAGTATTTCCATCTGTCACTGATTGAAAGGCTGTGTCTGTTACTGTATTTTCTTCTCCATTTACTGTTCCTGTGACTGCCAGGTAGAGTTTAAGGGACATGTTGAATAGTCAATACATGAAAATACTATGACAGATTATATTCTGAGAGTAATATTTGTAACAGCTCTATTCAATAAAGGTCTTTTATTGTGTCTACATATACTTTAAGCTATGTTCTGTAGCTGATTTTTTGTCATCCACCCCATCCACTTTATTCTTATTAATACTTACATATACTTTTTTTAACCTACACCTTTCTAACTTTGAGTGCTATTTTTTTCCAGGTGGTATTTTGGCAAAATGGGAAGAAAAGATGCTGAAAGATTACTTCTGAATCCTGGGAATCAACGAGGTATTTTCTTAGTAAGAGAAAGTGAAACTACTAAAGGTATGAATATTGTGCTAATATAAATATAATTTTCTTAGGCAGTATTTTGAGAAAGATATAATAAAAGGTTTTATTTCTTCCTGCCCCCCAGGTGCTTATTCCCTCTCTATTCGTGATTGGGATGAAGTAAGGGGTGACAATGTGAAACACTACAAAATCAGGAAACTTGACAATGGTGGATACTATATCACAACTAGAGCACAATTTGATACTTTACAGAAATTGGTAAAACACTACACAGGTATGTAAATATTTCAAAGGTGAAAATTATTTCCTCATGTTGTAGTTTACGAGGACAGAATCCATGTCTTCATGTTCCTTAAGGTTTAGCATGCTGCTTTACACACAGCATCAGCTCACTGGATGTTTGGTATATTCTGGCTTTAAAATGAGAAACAGGTAATACTTACTACCTAAGTTGAGTTCTTGGATGATGTGCTAAAATCAGATTATCATCATTTGAGTCTTTATATCTTACTGGTATAGTGTTTACATGAGAGTTCCATTCATGACAGCTAAATACAAAGATAGATTGTGACAGTAAATAAAAAGGCAAACAAATACTTACATTTATTAAGAAGGTAAAGCTAAGCACTTAAAAAGCTGTATCACATGTCCTTTTGGTTTATTTTCCTCTTCATGGGCTGGACTACATAAGACTTCCAGAACACATAAATGCAGTGAGATTTATTAAAATAAATCCAATGAAGATGCATTTTTCTTTTCCTGCAAAATTAACCTATAGCAACTATAGATATTCTTCAGATTTTCCAGCTTTGAAAGGTATTTCATGTTAGATTCGTCTGTCTTAAAAAGTTTTATTGCTAATTTGATACTTGAATGCTTCTGAAAGTCTTGAGATGATTAATGCTAGGGGAGGAGAAGTTTCCCATAGCAGTTTATTCACTTGACAGTTCAAAGTACATCAAATCAGCCTCCGGTGTTAATTAACATTGATCATGAAACATGTTGCCAAGCAGTGGCATCACTTGTAAATTCACTTGTTAATAGTGGGTTTGCATGGTTGGTTACTTGTCAAGAATGGGAGGGATCATGTCTTTCTTACAATGAGAAAGATTGTATAAGCAGGATTCACAAATCAAACTTAAGAATTTGGGATTCCCTGTTTTTCTGTCTCCTTTATCTAAAAATTAGCTCCATAAAAGAAGTTTTTCCTTGATTTTTGGTGTGCCTCTTATATTAGTGGTTATTAAACATAACAGTTAATGTTAGCACTCTTGTTGGAAAAAAATAAAGTATAGTAGCCACAAGCAGAACTTTTGAGACAGCCAGACCTAGGGTTTGAATCCCATCTTTATCACTTAGTAACTGGACAACCTTGAGAAAGTTGCTTAATTTTCTAAGACTCGTTTATATGAGATACCTGTAAAGTGCTGAATTAGCACAATAGCTTGGACATAAATAATAAATAATAACTTTTAAATGTAATTAACAAAATGTTTCATTTCCTGTGTGTTTTGCTTCTTAGGTACAATTCCCTTTTCATGTGTTGTGCTTTTATGTAAAAAATGTGATCATATATTTTTGTTTTTTATAATTGAAACTTTTAAAAACATTGATATACTACATGTACCTTAATTTTTGTAGTTCATTTTACAGTATAGTTTATTCATTTATCTAGAGCATGCTGATGGTTTATGCCATAAGTTAACAACTGTATGTCCAACTGTGAAACCCCAGACTCAAGGTCTAGCAAAAGATGCTTGGGAGATCCCTCGAGAATCTCTGCGACTAGAAGTTAAGCTAGGACAAGGATGTTTTGGTGAAGTTTGGATGGGTAAGAACTCTGAGTGTTTTTTTTTTTTTTTGGTCATTTTTTAGCCATAGATCAAAATGCCACAATTTATAAAATATATTGAAATATTTGAGGTAACTGCTGCTCATTGAAATTTGGTGTGAACTTTTTAAAATACAGAGCAAAATAGTAAAAGTGTTGTTTCTCTAGGAACGTGGAATGGAACCACAAAAGTAGCAATCAAAACACTAAAACCAGGTACAATGATGCCAGAAGCTTTTCTTCAAGAGGCTCAGATAATGAAAAAATTAAGACATGATAAACTTGTTCCACTATACGCTGTTGTTTCTGAAGAGCCTATTTACATTGTCACTGAATTTATGTCAAAAGGTATGTGTATATTACGTATCTCTTATGGTGTCCATGTTACTGAATTTTTAAAAAGCAAGTCTTTTATGCATGCAGATTTCTGTTGTATAGTGTTTTCTAAGATTTTTATGTAGATATTTGAAAAGAGAAAACCTGACGTTTTGTTTAATGGAATAGTTGATGACTAGCTCCAGTTATTCCAAAGGATATTACAAAGTTTAAAAGGAAAATAAGCAAGGTGAATTTATTTTGAAAGTAAATAGTCTTTTATTCCACTTGACTAAAGAAAATGGAATAGCTAGGAAGTAAAAGAGAAAGTCTTTATAAAGTTGAAATAAGATTATGCAATCAGATATTTATATCTTTGGTACTAAAGCAAAGAATCAGGTAAAGTTAATTTTTATAACATTTTAATACAAGCATAATCTTCATACTCAGGGCTCCTAGAAACTTTGTTGTTTTTCTACTGTCAACTGAAATGGCTTCATTACCCTGGACCTCAAGGTGGGATCTTTAGTTACAGGATTAGTTAGGGCCGGGGTAAAGGGTAGGCAAAATTGTTGCTCTTCCCTTTATTTCCCCTTTGCTGATGTGCTGTAGAAGAGGAACAAGTCATAAAATAGACACTAGGCTTGCTTATTACCCTCTTAAATTTCAGCTACATTTTTTCCTCTTAATAAGTCACTCATCCATAGCTAACACTGATCATGTTATCTTTTTCCAGTAGTGCACCTTGGCCAACTGCATAGTTCCATCTAGTGGTGACAGGTTCAACTACAAGCTACCCATTGGCCATAGGAAATGTTCCCCCTAAAAGGGACAGAGGAACCAAAGGTTAAAAGAACTGATACAGCCTAGTAATTGATAGCCAAAACATACCTAAGTCCCCAAAGTACAAGGCACTTTTTTGGAAGGAAACTCCTACAAACCACTGCCAAATATCTCATTTCAGAGTGCATTAGATGAACTAGAAAAGGAAGAAAAGAGACAACAAAGAGGAAGTTTAAATCAAGATATTGATAGCGTAACAATATAATGGTGGTAAAGCTAATGATCCATTAACTTTGTATTGATTTCAAGAGTTATTTTATTGGGGGTAACATGGTAGAAATCTGTATTGTCAGGTTGCTGGGTTAGGATTATTTCTAGATAGGAGATTCAGGATGTAGGATTATAAATGTCCCTTCTAGCTTTTAAAACTCTCATCATCATCATGTAATCAGGTGTTTAGCAGCTGACCCTCTATAATCCTTCCAAACTCATTGCTTTAAGTGCGTCCCCATAAATCCACTTTTCTGGCCAGATAGGTCTTCTTGTTGCTTCTTGTTTTCAAGAATTTATTCATGTTATTTCCTTTACCTGGAATTTGGTTCTCTATTTCTTGACCAGTCCATCAACTCTACTTCCTTCAGGTTGTACTTAAGTCAGGTGTTAGAAGCCTTGTACTAATCTATCAATGTGTCATGATCATTATATCCTCTGAAATCTTTGTGGTCAACTACTCTACAAATTACTAACAACCAAAATGTGAATGCTTCATATCTATATGACACTTTGTTATTTATTATTTCAAAGAACTAAAGAAACCCAAATAACTAGATTAAATTTGAAAATACCTAAACTTGTGAAGAGTTAGTTTTTAGTATAAAAGTAAGTTTTTTATAAACAAATGAAGCTACAGGCTGAAATTTCAGTAAGTATAATAGAAATTGAGGAAGAGTTTACATATGCTGGAATAAATCAAGAAAACATAGTACAAAAGACAAGTCTTGAACTGTCCTGTAAGGTTATGAAGGATATGGCTGTGTAAAGGGAAGAGCTACGAGGACTAAGGAAATGGGGAACAACCATAGCTGGTAGAAAGACAGAAGTAGTGGAAGAAACTAGTTGGGAATAAGGCTTAGAGGGGTTTTAATGAGACAAGCTGAAGGATTACTTCGAATCGATTTCACTATTATTTATGATTCACTGCCAGACTCCTAATGAGCTTCAGAGGGTACTTGAACTTCCTTTGAAGTTGTGTGTCAGTTTTTTCATACTTATGTGTGTTTTCTGGAAAGAGTATATAGTTTTCATCAGATTCTCCAATAACTTATGAACCAAAAAAAGTTAAGGACCACTGATAAGATCCAAAATGTTGTGTGATAAATGGATATAAGAAACATTTAAATGTTTCTTAAACATTTAAAGGGGTGGGTTTTTTTTGTGATTGGGTAATGATTGGAGAAGAATTATCAAAATGATACAATTTCTAATCCTTGGTTTCTTTTTAAAATATATTTATATGTCACATGTAGAAAGCTTCCTTTCTGAGATTTTATTTATTATTTTTTAGGGAAAGGAAAGGGAGAGAAACATCGTTATAAGTGGGGGAGATACATCAATTGGTTGCCTCTCACATGCCCCCAACTGGGGACCTGGCCCAAAACCCAGGCATGTGCCCTGACTAGGATTCGAACCAGCGATCTTTTGGTTTGCAGGCCAGCACTCAGTCCACTGTGCCACACCAACCAGGGCAATCCCTGTATTTCTATGCTCTTTTGCATTATTTTAGCACTTATCTGTTGTTACACTGAATGATGTTCCACTTAGTGTATTGAATCAAAGAATTCTATTTTCTTCTTCCTTCTATGTACTCTGCATTATCATGTATTTATATGACATCATTCATATAAATGATGCATTCAAAAGAAGCATCCCTTCCTTTGTTTAAGAACAGCTCCTTTACTGCATCCGTGATGCTTCTCGATCCTTAACTTACTTTAAAGAACAAAACCCTCCCTTTATCCCTAACATCTGCTTTTTACCTACTACTCTACTTTCTTTTTTGCCTCCCTTCACAGCCAAGATTTTTTATAGAACAGGCAGTACCGGTCTCCAATTCCTAACCAGTCATATACTCTTTTTAAAGCTATTCTAGATTAATTAATGTCAACAGTTTTCATAGTATTTTTTAAGAATTATGGAGTGTTTCAAACATATAAAGGATACTGTATAACACCTAGGTCCCTACCATCCATATTTAATGAATGTCTACATTTTTCCATATTTGCTTCAGATCTTTCTACTAAAGAAACATCATATTAATGATCTGATTGAATCCTTGTTTTTAACCCTCCTTGAGACCTATTCTTTTTTTAGCCCTTCTTTTTAGCCCCTTCGTACATATTTCCCTTCAAAGGGAGCCTTGTTTTTAAAATTGGTGCTTACCTTTCCCACCTGTGTTATCCCTGTCGATATATGGGGTTTGCCAAAATATCTGTAGGGTTTTTCCCATAAAATGACATGTTTCATTTTCACCAATAACTTAATTAATTTGGATATTTCGAATATGTTGGCTATCTCTAGTGTGGTATAATGTTGATTGTTCTCAATTAATGTCTCGATTTGATCCATATCAACTTCACCTGGTCTGCCTGACCAGGGAGTGTTGTCCAGTGAGAAATCTCCAACTTGAAACTTTGCAAACCACTTAACACATTTGATCAGTCACAGCACCTTCTTCATATACTGCACAAATCTTTGTTGTGTGTTTCAGTTGCACATATACCTTTCTTGAAATAATAAAACATAACAGGCTGAAAATATTGCATATTTTCTTCCACCTTTAATATTAAAATGGCTACACAAAAAATTCACCAATTTTGGTGTTATTTTTTAAGTGTACACTGTCACAATACAATCTAACAAAATTGTTTTAAGTGAAGTTAAAGACAATGAAGCACTACTAGAGCCGTATTATGGAAAAAACAAATGAGCTTTTTGCCCAACTCAGTACTTTTACTAAAATATTTACCTACTGACAGTTTTTAATTTTTTAACTTACATCAATGCAGCTTTATTTTTATTCAACATATGTTCTTGAGATTTATTCATGTGGATGAGGGAAAAATCCAGTTCATATACTTGTAACTGTTGTGTAAGATTCTATATGAGTGTACCATTGTTTATTCATTCCTTTCCCAGTGAACATTTATTAGGCTGCTTTTAGTTTGTCACTGGTATATACAATGCTGCAGGGAATATCCTTGTACTTGCTCCTTTTGCACATAAAAAGCCTGTAGTGCAAAGCCTGCAATGTCACCTGGAAACTTGTTAGAAACACAATCTTCACTTTCCTACCCTCTATGTAATAGTCTACTGACGGCTGTTCATCCCATTTGTTAAATCTCTCTAATAACTTTTTCCTTCTTGTCATTTCCACTTTCTTTGTTAGATTTTAACATAATAGTCTATGCTAGACTGTTGCAGGAAACACAAACTTATTCCTTTTATGAACTTTGGCCCAATTTCATTCTTCATATTACTATTGGAGATACTGCTTTTTCAACATAAATCTGATCTTATTGCTTCTCAGTGTAAAATTTTATATAAAAGAATAAAGTCTGTTTATGCTTTGCCTTCTGTGTAACTTTTATAATATCTACTGAGCACTATTGTTTGCTATAATATATATACTATTGTGTGTGTATATATTACAATATGTATATATACACATAATATATATACTGCTGTATATATATTATATATATACTATACGTTCATACTAGATCAGATCTTTTCAAGAGCAGGGACCATGACGTACCTCTGTACCCTTTTACAGTACTTCACATGTAGTAGGTCCTCAGTAAATATTTGAGTGGGCAGATACATGGACAAACACAGTAACATGTTTTCTTTGTTTTATTTTAGTTTCATTTTGAAATACGTTTAAACTTTTAGAAAAGTTACAAAAATAATATAAAGAATTCCTGTATTTCAGCCAGATTTGTCAGTTGTTAACTAGATATATTATCAATATATAAAATATAAGGGTTTTCTTCTGAAACATTTAAGAGTACATTACAGACATTAAGCTCCCTTTACCTCTAAATATATCAATATTTGTTTCCTACAGACAAGAACAGCATTTTACATAACCACAGTATAATGGTCAAGTTCAGGAACTATAACATGGATATAATTTTGTTGTCTAATACCAGTCCATTTTCTGATTTCACCAGTCATCCCAGTGATGTCCCTAATTATAGCAATATTTTTCTGATCCAGTAATTTGGTCTACTTTAATCTGGAGAAGTCCCTCAGCCTTTCTTGTTTGTTTGTTTGTTTGTTTGTTTGTTTTTAAGATTTTATTTATCTTTAGAGGGGAAGGGAAGGAGAGAGGGAGAGAAACATCAATGTATGGTTGCCTTTCGTGCGTCCCCTGCTGGGAACTGGCCTGCAGGGAACATGCCTGCAACCCAGGCATGTGCCCTGGCTGGGAATCGAACCGCGATCGTCTGGTTCGCAGGCCCGTGCTCAATCCACTGAGCTACACCAGCCAGGGCTCCTTTCTTGTTTTTCGTAATATTGTTATTTTTTAAGACAACAGTACCATTTTTTTAATAAAATGTGTCTGAATTTGGGTTTATCTGATATTTTCTCCTTATTCAAGTGAGGTACATGGCAAATTGTAACCAATAATAGAGGAATAGCAGCTAGATGTTTCCTTTCTAGCCTTTTTCTCTGTTGACATTCATAGTACTTTGCTTTTATCTGAAATCTGCTAAAATTGAGTAGAGTTAGCTGGAATTAGTTTTAAGTAACCCAAGATATTCACAGTTATCTTAACTCTTGATTCAGATTGTCTTAAAAATATGTAAGAATCTAATACTACCTTTTGAATAAAAATTAGAATTGTTCTTGATCAAAGTGAGGAATGAATGAATGCCTCTAATCTGGTAAGATTATTGCATTTTCCCTTTTTTTGAATGTTATCAAGAGAAGTTCATAAAATTTCAGTTTAGGGACCTCTTCTAGAATCTTACAGATAAGTTATTCAGAAATTCCAAAGCTATAAAAAAAGGTTAAAAAATGAAAAGTTGAAGTTTTATATCATCATGTGATTTATTTGATTATTTCCCATGAATGTTTTGCTGTTTCTTATAGGGAGCTTACTAGATTTCCTGAAGGAGGGAGATGGGAAGTATTTGAAGCTCCCACAGTTGGTTGATATGGCTGCTCAGGTACTTGTATATCTGTACATGTGTCATTAGTTTGAATTGAAAGTGCATTCAAAATGAAAAATAATTTTAGTAGAATACTACTGTTTATATAATGAAATCATGGCATTTTGGAGTTGAAAGAGACATAATCCAGTCTGATCTCTTGGTTATAGTTAATGTACTATCTGAAAACTAGAGGTATCTGAAATTCAGGTAACATTAGTATTAGAACCAGGTATGTGACTACCATTATACTGCTGTCCTGAATCACATGGCCTTTCAGAAGCATACTACATCCACAAACATAAAGTCTATATGTATTTATATTTTAACAGGTAAATTTTAAAACAGTGAATGATTGCTATTCCAAAGGAAATAGTAGTTTTGGAAATCTAAAGTATATGATGCAATATGGAGAAATTTTATACGAAGAAACTGTATGTATAAGACTTTAGCATATGCCAGCCCTAGTCCACACTCCTGAATTCGGGGCTTATAGACATTTCATAGTAGAGGCTGGCAAACTGTTTTTGTAAAACACCAGAAATTTAGGTTTTATGGACTACATACATTTCTCTTCCCCTTCTTCCTTCTCTCCTGTCCCCTTCCCCCTCTTCCCCTTCCCTCTCATTCACCCTTCCTATCCTCCTCAATTATAGTGTTTTGTTTTTTTTTTCTATTATCTGCTAGATTATGCCCTGTAGCTGATTCGGACACTAGCGTGCATGTCTCATTATGGATGAAATGAGACATTCACACGGACCACTGAGTCCAGTGGAGGAAAAGGGACGGCATGGCTTTTCTCTCGAAGGGAGCAAAAGCCTCGTCCCTTGCCATGACTGTCCTTTATTGGGTTTCTGGGCACATTACATGATGGTCCGCATTTACTAAGCACAAGTTCACTTTAGGGGGTTACCTTTTACAGACAACAAAGGAGCCAATGCCGCTAATCACATCACAGAAGAGGGATATTTGCAAATAAAAAGGCAAAAGTGGTTCATCTGTTACACTCATTCTTGGAAGGTTTAGCATGGATTTTCAGAAGTTACTTTGCAGTCAATGTTTGCCACTAATCCTGTTGAGGGAGTTTTTTTTTTTTTTTTTTTTAAGATTTTATTTATTTATCTTTAGAGGGGAAGGGAAGGAGAGAGGGAGAGAAACATCAATGTATGGTTGCCTTTCATGCATCCCCTGCTGGGAAGTGGCCTGCAGGGAACCGGCCTACAACCCCGGTATGTGCCCTGACTGGGAATCGAACCGGGATTGTCTGGTTCGCAGGCCCGTGCTCAATCCACTGAGCTACACCAGCCAGGGCTTCCTGTTGAGGGAGTTTTTAGTAAAAGCAAGATTCAAAGTGGCCTAGGCATATTGCAGGCCTGATTCCTCACAGGAGAACCTATCTGTGGGTTTGGGTTCTGTCCATCTCTGAGTGGGAGCTGGGCCTACGCCCCGAAGAATCTCTGAGTGGGAGCTGGGCCTACGCCCCGAAGAACGGTCTCCTACATGTAACCATTATCTCCTTTAGAGATGTAGCAGTTTTCAGTGATCATCTTAACATAAACCAGAATTGTTTTTATCTCTCCTTCCCTTTTTATATGTCTTGTTTTCCCCCAAGATTGCTGACGGTATGGCATATATTGAAAGAATGAACTATATTCACCGAGATCTTCGAGCTGCTAATATTCTTGTAGGAGAAAATCTTGTGTGCAAAATAGCAGATTTTGGTTTAGCAAGATTAATTGAAGACAATGAATATACGGCAAGACAAGGTAAAATTACTATATTTTTAGTAGGATTTATTGGGGTGACATTGGTTAATAAAATTAAATAGGCTTCAGGGGAACAGTTCTATAATACATCATCTGTGTACTGTGTTGTGTGTTCACTACTCCAAGTCAAGTTTCCTAAAATTACTATTATTTAAAATAGTTTTTTTCCTCTGGCCCCTGGTAGGAGCTACCCTGGTCCCTCTCCATATGTGGGAACACTCAAGCCTGATGCATCCAGTAATAATGTTTAGATCCCCAGAAGACATGAGGAATTCTTCAGCCTCATGCTTAATTTTGGGGTATTTAGGGAAACATTTTGGGGATGGCAAACTACTGATAGCCACCATCTATAGTTCCCAAGTTTAACCCAGATAATGTCTTGGTAATGCAGCTTCATTGATGGCAGTAGAACCAACTGCCGTCAAGCATCTCAGTGTTCAGGCAGTCATGGTAGGAGGCTGCCAGGCAGGCTAAAATTATTTTTTAATAAGTGCTTGTAACCTTACGTTCAACAGATGTTCTTAGTTACCATTCTTTTGAACATACAGGGTTTAACAGAATAAGAATAGCTCTAGATCCCTCGGGCACATCCAACATTGGTTTTAATCGTAAAATTATATACAGTACATGATACCACAGCTTTCTGGTAATTGTTTCCCTGAGGAAGAATTTGACTGGGTATTCTTTGCATTGTAAATATAGCTCCCTTTACACTATCTTTACACTTCTTTTGGCACACCAACAAATGAACATTTTAAAATTCCTTTTGTAACCACCTCAAACTATCCAGATTTTATTATACCAAGGATCGGAAAAGGTCTATTTGAAGCTAATATATTAAATAACATATAATTTTATAAAGGCTTTGGAAACCACTTTTATGCCAGATTTACAGTAAGTGTTTATTGTATATAACATTGTAATAAAAAGCATTTGAAAATTAACACTGTAAAAGGGTGAGGGAAGGAAGCTTGTGGAAGTTAACCTAAGTCGATTGTTCTCTTTGGCATCTGCCTCTCTAAACTCTCATTCAGTACACACTTAATGAACACACATATGCATACGCATATGGAAAGAGTATGGGTTTTTTAATTCCAATTCCATCTCTCACTAGCCCAGAGGTTTCAAACAAGTTATTAAACCTTTTTGACTGAGCCTCCGTCTCCTCACTTACAAAGATTAGGTGGTAATGTTTACATTTCAAGGTTGTCATGAAGCTTTAATGAAGTAATAGATGTATAGTGCCTGGCATTATCTAACATAGCAGGTGCTCAGTAAGTACTAGAGCTTACATTTTAATGGGGAAGGTAGACCTATATATAAATAACTATAAAGCAAACATTCCATAATTTAATGTCAAAAGACTATGTGGAAAATACTTCGGGAAAGCAGAGAGAACCAGAAAGACATCACAGAGGGGATGGCTTGAGAGCAGAGCCTCACAGAGTTTAAGTTAGGCAGAGATTAAGTAAAGTAAGGTCCAGTGCTCATCACCACAGAGGTTGTCCATCCTGCATGAAACCTTCCGTGATGCTTCATACCTACAACAAAAGATGCCTTGTTGTTCACAATAATTTCAGAATAAAGGACATGCCTATAAATTAACAATTTTGGCCTTTTTGAATTGATGTATAATCTTTTTTTCCCATCAGACTGTGATCTTTTGTCAATGACTATATTGGTACACAAACTATAGGGAACTGTTGTCTTAAACCACAGGTTCTCAACTGGTGATTTTTGCCCCATAGGGAATGTTTGGCAGTGTCACTATCTTGAGACATTTTGGGGTTGTAACAACTGGGAAGTTGCTATTGGCATCTAGTGGGTGGAGGCCAGGCATACTGCTAAACACCCTACAGTGTAGAAGGTAGGCCCCACCGAAGAATTATCCAGCCCGAAATGCCAGTAGTGCCAGTTTGAGAAACTCTTCCTTCAGCACAGTGCTTTCTTTTCAACCTCCATACCTCTGTGCAGGTCCCTCCAGCTAGAGTATCTTCCTGTCCCTTTGTAATCTTTACCTATAAAATTCTAACCATTTTTTAAATTTTAACTTAGTTGCCCCCTTTCTAATTAAACCTTTTGTGATTGTGCTAGTGAAAATTGATCTTCTGTTTGATATCTAAAGAACTGTGTTACAGCACTATATACATACATACAGAAATAACCTGAAGTTTGTAAGACTCCTAATGTCGCCACTGTAAGTATAAAAGCTGCACAAAGTCTATGTTTTTCTTTTCCATAACAATTATAATGCCTTGTGCATAAAAAATATATGATAAAAATTTGAGTTAATTAATATAGGCTTCTAAAAATGATAGTACAATAAAATTTTCCAGAGAAATATCAAAATTAAAAAGAGATTGTGGTTGAAAACCAATAGACAGTAGAACCCAACAGAATATACCCTCTTCAACCAGTGGTTAGCTGTAACTACTAGACTTACTTAAAAGTTGTAAGTCCTATAATAACATGTTTTTGCTTTCTTCTTATTGGAGTTTCTGCGTCCATTTTCTAGAATAGTATTTGTACCCACCAACAGTATTCCTTTTATGTCATTGAATATCTTATCAGGAAGAAATGTGACTTATTTTAATATCAATTTTAAATATTAAAATGTTTCTTGTGTGTCTTGTACTTTTGAAGAATTTAACACTGATGATACATATAATGAGAATATTGCCAGAAAATTAGCCCTTTTTATGCCATATTTATACAAATAGATTTTTAAAAACAATTTACTTAAGCAAAATTGTCAATACTGTTTTAGGTGCAAAATTTCCAATCAAATGGACAGCTCCTGAGGCTGCACTATATGGTCGATTTACAATAAAGTCTGATGTATGGTCATTTGGAATTCTACAGACAGAACTGGTAACAAAGGGCAGGGTGCCATATCCAGGTAAGCTTGCATTTTATTAGCTCTTGGTTATTCCATTAGTGACTTTAACTGGAATTTATTAGGATCAGAAATGTAAGGCGAAAGGTCTTTTTTCCTCTCTTTGTCTTTCTTTTTTCTTCCCTCCCTTCCTCTCTTTGTTTTGGCATTGGATGGACAGCAAACTGATAGGGCAAGCATGAGGTGTGCCCCACATTGAGCTAAACTTTCTCCCTTAGGGTATTTTCCAAAAGGACTATTTACTCTACTATTCTCTCAGATAATAAATATATCTTCAGTGTTTTGGGTAATCTTTCCCACACCCATAATCCCACTCTTCCAGGCCCTGTCTTATAAGTTGTGATAACACAGGGTTAACTGTACGTGAGGATTTGGGGGGGGGGTTACAAAGGAATACAATAAAGGAACTTTGTAATAACTGGAGGAAGGTCAAACAGGTGGTACTAGATAAAGAAAGTGTTTCATGAAAGTGACTTGATATAAAGTCACAGTGAAAGTCCTTTCAAACACTATCTTGCCACTTTTCCTCATTAGCCCAAGTTTGGTAAAGAATACTGTTAATATCAGAACTTTGAAGTAGCACCCTAAATTTTCATTAATCAATTGGAATAGGCTTTTGAAGGCCTTTAATGTTGAAAATAACGTTTTAAGTGGAATGAAAAAAATGAGACATTGTGAAACAGTCCAGCATTTTCTAAGCTTTTCTTGGTATAATTTGACAGTGAAAATTTATTTCTTTGTTAAAATAATAGTTTCACTAAGTAAACTTAATATACTTTGAATCAGTTTGTGGTTAGAGAATTTGTTCTTTTTTTTCCCCTAGTTTAAAAATCACTGTATAAATTTAAGGCATACAGCATGATGGTTTGAACTACATGTATTGTGGAATGATTGCCACAGTTGGTTCATTGTATTAGTGGTGTTTGGCATCGTTGTTTTTTAATGTTTGATGTTTTTTTATTGTGTTAGGTATGGTAAACCGTGAAGTACTGGAACAGGTGGAACGAGGATATAGGATGCCTTGTCCTCAGGGCTGTCCAGAATCCCTACATGAATTAATGAATCTTTGTTGGAAGAAGGACCCTGATGAAAGACCAACATTTGAATATATCCAGTCCTTCTTGGAAGACTACTTCACTGCTACAGAGCCACAGTACCAACCAGGAGAAAATTTATAATCCAAGTAGCCTAATATTTTATATGCACAAACCTGCCAAAATGTAAAGAACTTGTATAGACTTCCTCACTTACGTACAGGAATCAAAAGAAGGAACTCCTCTTCACTCTGCATGTTTTTAATGGTAAACTGGAATTCCAGATATGGTTGCACAAAACCACTTTTTTGTTGTTCCAAGTGTTAAACTCTAAAGTACCAGTGATGAATTTTCCAACTTATTTCAGGGTCCAGAGAAAGTATGGCTAAGATATCGATGATAGTGAGTGTGATAGCATGACAATGAAGAGCAACAAAGCTACTGTTCATAAGCCACTTCCTTTATTTTAGTCCCCAAACTCAGAATTGCTAAGAGAAAATTGTTTATCATTAGAGACAAAACTTTGGAAAGAATGAAGTTATATCATAATGAAATCCAAAATCAAGGAACTTCATGGGACCAAATGATTCCATTCCATTTTAAAATTTTTCTTGCATTCATTCTTCTCAAAAGTTTTTCTAAGTTGAAGTTAATGTGCAGTTTTAATATATGCCTCCCTTTCATGGAAATGAGCAAGATTTTTAGAAGAAAAAAGGAATATAAACAACACCTTAAGCTTGATTAATGGTTACCTAACAGCAGTGGGATTTGAAAGTATAATGCACTATGTTAATACTCAAACTCATGGAACTGGCAAGTAGAACTTTTACACTTTATTTTCTGAAAAGCTCAGTTTAGAATAATGAAGGTTAACTAGAAAGCAAGTTAATCTTTTGTAAGTGTGCATTGATTTTTTAAAAGGCAATATATAATTGAAATTATACTATCCAGTCCAAGGGGAAATCTTTTAATCTTTAGAATAGCATGAAAAAAATAAGTCCCAACATTTAAATAGGTATTGTGAGATACTGCTAAATATGTATTTATGGTGATGGGTGCCACAAATGTAAAATATCACTAGATCAGGGACTTGAATGCACTTTTGCTCTTACTGCATATAGACTAACAGAGAGGAAAATGTATTTAAAAGAAATATGAGAAAAGAAAAATGTGAAAGTTTTACAGGTAGAAGAGGTGGAATGTTATATTTAATGTTGATTTATGGAGTGACAAAATGGCTTTGCTGGCACTCAAAGCTTCTCACTTATCTATTTTTTGAAATTTTAAGAATTATAAACTATGATTATAAGACTAATCTAACCATAAACACTAAGTGACTGGTACAGCCTCAAAATAAGTTAAGGCATCCCACTAATTTCAATGATGCAGCTTTTATGCAAAATATTTTTTAAAATTCAGTTTTCAAATTTGTGTTGGAATCTGCATTCACTTTTTAAATATACTTAATGGTGTTGCATTTTTTCTTTCAGAATTAGTTGATTTATAGAGGAAAGCTTATTCAGAATAATAACAGTGGTGAAAAGGGGGGACAGTTTTTGCCCATTTAAAGTACACAAGTAAAACATATAAAATAAGACTGATTTTTATGACTAACAGAAATTCCAAAAGATGAATTCGAATAGCAGGATTACTAGCTTAAGGATCTAGCAAGGAACTGAACCTGACAAATTAAAGTCTAGTATTTTATGTTTTAAAGTACTCTTTTATAGTTATACTCTACATAAAGCAATACATTCAGTCCCCATATTTTAGGAATATAATTTTTAACTACTATCACTTACCTGATCATTAAATTTAACATCCCGTGCTATGGTATCTGTGTTGAAATTCAGACCATTTTAAAATGTGACAGTTGAACTTCATGCAAATTGGCAACAGTTCTGGTACTAAAAATTGTAGTGGTTTCTTATGTTTACGTAACCTGCTTAGTATTGAATCCCTCTCCAAGAGGATCATCGAATGAAAACTGCCCTTAATGTCTGCATCCTGTGACATCAGATTTTTAAAGGGCTTCATGTGAACTATGGTTTATTTTTTCTAGCATTAAAAAAGTATAACAAAATGATATGTTTATGTACTAATTCTGTTCAGAAAAATAAGCCAAGAAAAGTTGTATTCATCAGGTTTTTATTGGGTTTTAACTGAAGGGAGCTGTTCCTTATAACATCACTTGTGTAGTAAGGAAATAACACTAACTCAATGTGTATTCGATTTAAATGGTTATGTATTTTTAAATTGCCAAGAAAAATAAACAGCTTTGTACATTTGAAGATTTTTTTTTCAACACCTTTTCACCTTCAATATCTTAATGTGAAACCTGACCCTTACCCCCCTGGAAAAAAGTTGGTAAAACAACCTTTTAGCACAAACAGTTTTTTAAATGAATAATGGTAGCCTAACACTTAATATTTTTATAAAGTATTATAATACTGTTTTGTGGATAATTGAAATAATTCTCATTGAATGTTCCCGTTTATCTGTTTTGCCACTGTTCATACTTTCTCAGCAGATTTTTTAATGGGTATTTAAAGCAAAGTATATTCTGAGTTTTTTTTCATTAGAAAAACAAGTGTTCTGTTACAACTCTTGAGCAGAATTAAGTCAATCCTTTATTAAGTTCAGAACATTATTGAGCTCATTCTATGTGCTTAGTTTTCCAGGTGACTTTTTTTTTAAGTTAAACCAGCAACTACAGGTGATGTACAGAGAAACTGAAGTGATTTAAGCTATTCATAGAGAATCTGTGTTGAAGGATATAAATTAGAAAAACAACTTTTGATCATAAGGAATTTAATTTTTTTTAATGAAAACACATGAGCCTTATTTCTGTGTGTGTTTTAATTTCTATATGTATAATGAAAATAAAGTTATACTAAATTATGAATGGGCAATCAAAGGCATTTGTTATTTTCAATAAGATGTTAATAAATATTACCTCTTATTATTATCTAAAATCATTAGCTTTGGTTTCCCTAATGATTTCAGAAGAGTAACATTTAATTAAAAACATAAGTTAGTAGACATTTATCAATTTTTTTATAGTATAGTAGTAGCCCCTTGATATTTTTCTAGCTTGCTAGTTACCTTTTAATTTTGCAAATAATTTTTTGACATTTCAGTTGTGTATCTGTATGTTGTCTTTTTTTATGCTTGGAAAGTCTTTTGCATCCCAAGATTAAATACCTCATGTTAAATTTTATGCTTTTCTTTTTTATTAATATATTTATTGATTATGCTATTACAGTTGTCCCATTTTCCCCCTTCACTCCTGTCCACCCTGCACACCCCCTCCCATCCACATTAACCCCCCTTTAGTTCATGTCCATGTGTTATAAGTTCTTTAGATTCTACATTTTCCATACTATTCTTACCCTCTCCCTGTCTATTTTCTACCTACCATCTATGCTAATTATTCTCCGTACTTTTTCCCCTTCTCTCTCCCTCCCGTGGTCCTAACCCTCCATGTGATCTCCATTTCTATGGTTCTGTTTCTGTTCTAGTTATTTGCTTAGTTTGTTTTTGTTTTAGGTGTGGTGGTCAATAATTGTGAGTTTGGTGTCATTTTACTGTACATGTTTTCTATCTTCTTTTTCTTAGATTAGTCCCTTTAACATTTCATATAATAAGGGCTTGGTGATGATGAACTCCTTTATTAACTTGACCTTATGTGAGAAGCACTTTATCTGCCCTTTAATTCTAAATGAGAGCTTTGCTGGATAGAGCAATCTTGGATGTAGGTCCTTGCCTTTCATGACTTGGAATACTTTCGAGCCCCTTCTTGCCTATAAGGTCTCTTTTGGGAAATCAGCTGACAGTCTGATGGGAACTCCTTTGTAGGTAACTGTCTCCTTATCTCTTGCTGCTTCTAGGATTCTCTCCTTCATTTTAATCTTGGGTAATGTAATTATTATGTGCTTTGGTGTGTTCCTCCTTGGGTCCAACTTCTTTGGGACTCTCTGAGCTTCCTGGACTTCCTGGAAGTCTGTTTCCTTTGCCAGATTGAGGAAGTTCTCCTTTATTATTTGTTCAAATAAGTTTTCCACTTGTTGCTCTTCCTTTTCTCCTTCTGGTACCCCTATAATTCAGATATTGGAATGTTTAAATATGTCCTGGAGGTTCCTAAACCTCTCTTCACTTTTTTGAATTCTTGTTTCTTCCTTTTTTTCTGATTGAATGTTTCTTTCTTCCTTCTGGTCCACTCCATTGATTTGAGTCCCAGTTTTCTTTCCATCGTTATTGGTTCCCTGTACATTTTCCTTTATTTCACTTAGCATAGCCTTCATTTTTTCATCTAATTTGCAACCAAATTGAACCAATTCTGTGAGCATCCTGATTACCAGTGTTTTGAACTGTGCATCTGATGGGTTGGCTATCTCTTCCTTGCTTAGTTGTATTTGCTGTGGATCTTTGATTTGTTCTTCTGTTTGGGCCATGTATTGTTTTGGTCTTGGGCCTGTTACGTGTGAGGGGCCGAGCCTTAGGTGTTCCATCAGGGTGAGGCAACCCAGTTGCTGGGTTGTGAAGCTGTATGTGGGGCAGGGGTCCAAGAGGGAACAGTGGTGCTTACTCTGCTCTTTGCCAGATTTCAGTCACTTCTCCCGCTTCCCCCAAGGAAATTGGGCCCTTCTGGTGCTGATTCCCGTGTGGGTGGGTTTGTGTACTTTCTAGGACCCTGTGGGCCTCTCCAACAAACTCTCCTTTGAGGCTTTATTTCCCTGTGCCGGGACCCTGGATTACACTATCTGTGTTGCTCCACAGTTTTGCCTGGTTTATCTGTGCACGAATGTGGGACTGTCCTGTCTGCCAGCTGCCTTGTGTGCCACACTCCTCTGCAATCTGCTGCCTCACTGGGTCTGCCAGCTGCCACCTTGGGCATCCAGGGTTCACCAGCCACTGGTTTTTTTGTTTGTTTGTTTGTTTTTTGTTTTTTGTTTTTGCCAAGAGTCATCTCCACTCAGCGGCCCAACTTCATCCCTCCTACTGGTCTGGTTGAATGTGTCTACTTTAACCTCCTTGGTTGTCAGACTTCCATACAGTTCAATTTTCTGTCAGTTCTGGTTGCTTTTTGTTTCTAAATTATTGTTGTCCTTATTTTGGTTGTGCAAGGAGGCACAGTCTGTCTACCTATGCCTCTATCTTGGCCAGAAGCTATGCTTTTTTTTTTTTTTTTTACATTTCTCTTTAATGCATTTGGAAGTTATATAGGTGTAAAATGTTACTAAAGGTTCTAGCATGATATTTTTCCCTATAGTTAATTTTCCCAGCACCATTTACTGGTTAATTCATTCCTATTGGTTTGGGTTCTTTCCTTTATTTATGCATATCTCTATACATCTGTTTTGTCCAATTAATTTGCCATTCTTCTAACAGTACAACACTTTTCATTATTAATTACTTGATAATGCATTTTAATAATTAAGAAGCAAGTTGCTTTGATTTTTTTTTAAGATCTTGGTATTCATGTAGATTCTTAAAGTTAAGACTTTATTTTTGATATTCCCAAAAATTTCAAGTGAGATTTGGTTAGGATTGCATTATGATTATAAATTAACTTGGTAAAAATTAACATTTTTCAAATCATTCTCCCCATCCAGTTTATGCAAATCTTTATTTACATCTCTTGGTAAAGATCTTCAAGGCTTTTCTGTATGGAGTTAGATGAGCCTTATTTCTTGTCTGATGATAATGCTCTAAAGATTCCCCAGTGCTGAGGACTTCCGCCAAGATCGAGGTATAGGTGGAACCACCTTGCCTCTGTGCACAACCAAATCTAAGAACAACTATTTTTAACAACAATAAACACAACCAAGCCACACAGAAAATTGACAATACGGAGTCCAAAGACAACTAAATGCTCAGCTAAGCCAGCAATGGAGCAGGTTGGCAAGAAAAAATCCCCGAACGGGTGGTGCGCGAGCAGCCGAAGGCGCAGATCGAGGGCTAGCCACGGGAGCACACAGGGAAGAGGCGCGGCGGGCTGTCTGCGGTCGGTCGCGCATCTGCGTGCGGATAAACCAGTGAGGAGGGGAGCCTGCACGGGGCAGCAGGCTTACACAGTTCTGATCGGATAAACAGGCCTGGGGTGAATGGTGACACTGGATGGACTGGGCTAGCGGAGAGGACCGCCATTGCTCCCTCTCTGACCACGCCCCCATACACAGTATCACAAACCAGCTACCTGGGTCCCCCCATCCTGGTAAACAATTAAGGCTTCGCTCCGCTTACTTAACGGCGCGAATAGACCAAAAATGGCTCTAGAACAACTCAGACCCCCAGAACCGATCGATCTAAGCAATGAAGAAATAGCCAATCTTTCAGATGCACAGTTCAAAACACTGGTTATCAGGATCCTTACAGAACTGGTTGATTTTAGTCACAAATTAGAGAAACGTATGGAAGCTAAACTAATTGAAATGAATGGTAATACAAAGGAAACCAATAGTAATGGAAATGAGATTGGGACTCAAATCAATGGAGTGGACCAGAAGGAAGAAAAAAATGATCAAACAGAAAAGAATGAAGAAACAAGAATTCAAAAAAATGAGGAGAGACTTAGGAACCTCCAGGACATCTTTAAACGTTCCAACATTCGAATTATAGGGGTACCAGAAGGGGAAGAGTCACGAGTGGAAACCTTATTTGAACAAATAATAACAGAGAACTTCCCCATTCTGGCAGAGGAAATAGACTTCCAGGAAATCCAGGAAGCTCAGAGAGTTCCAAAGAAGTTGGACCCAAGAAGAAACACACCAAGGCATATCATCATTACATTAGCCAAGATTAAAATGAAGGAGAGAATCCTAGAAGCAGCAAGAGCTAAGGGGACAGTTACCTACAAAGGAGTTCCCATCAGACTGGCAGCGGATTTCTCAAAAGAGACCTTACAGGCAAGATGGGGCTGGAAAGAGGTATTCCAAGTCACGAAAACCAAAGACCTACAACCAAGATTGCTCTATCCAACAAAGTTTTCATTTAGAATGGAAGGACAGATAAAGTGCTTCTCAGATAAGACCAAATTCAAGGAGTTCATCATCACCAAGCCCTTATTATATGAAACGTTAAAGGGACTTACCTAAGAAAAAGAAGATAAAAAAGATGAACAGTGAAAGGACAGCAAACTCACAGTTAGTAACAACCACACCTAAAACAAAAGCAAACTAAGAGGACAGCTAGATCAGGAGCAGAACCATAGAAATGAAGATCACATGGAGGGTTAGCAACAGGGGAGTGGGAGGAGGAGAAGTGGGGAGAAGGTACAGAAAATAAGTAGCATAGACAGTAGATAGAAAATAGGGGGAGGGCAAGAATAGTAGGGGAAATACAGAATCTAAAGAATTTGAGACACGTGTTCATGAACTAAAGGGGGAAATGGTGGGGGAGGGGTATGCAGGGTGGAGGGGAATGAAGGGGGGAATAGAACAAATGTAATGGCATAATCAATAAAAAAGTTAAAAAAAAAAGAAAGATGCCCCAGTGCTGTTGGAGACCAGGTCCCCACTTTGTTAAAAAAGAAAACAACATGCAGAGATGAGGAAGAGGGTTTGCCCCAGTAAATAGCATTTATTTCCTTAAAATATCCTGCCCTACTCTTCCTCCAGTTTTTTCTTTCTCTTTGTGTGTGTGTGTGTGTGTGTGTGTGTGTGGTTTAAATGACATCAAGCTGAGTTTCTATCATCATAACTGGAGTCCTGATCAACACTAAAATCGTCAATACCAAAAGGAATACTTCTAATTAAAATAAGCAGCACGTGCTGTTACCATCCTTTTACTCCTCCACGTTCACACTGTGCTAGAAGGGCATGCTGTGCTTCTCTATGAGTTCCCCTGACTGTCTGGTTTCTTGTTGGGTTAGGCCATTGAGCTCTAGTAGAAGAACAGAGAAAC